AGAAAAACAAGCGGTGGTTCATTATGCATATCAGTACACAGTGCACAAGAATCACGTAGACGAGCAGCCTTTTTTGGGTAATAAGGCCATACTAACGGCCCTCCTCTGTCATTACAAACTACAAAAACATGAAAGGGCCGCCATTTGGTTACAATTATCGGAGCCGTGAACCAGGGTTGCCAAATGCATCACCGTAGATGGTAATCGTTTTTAGTAGGTGTGCACCACGCTTCAAGAAAGTGATGCATCAGACCTACTAAAATTTCTCCATCCCCACCTCCTCACCATCAGAAGGGGTTGGAAAGAAGAAGGACAGAAAACAGCCTTTTGACGGTACTCAGCCCCAGCATTTCATCATCAATATTGCTATATATTCTTTGATCTGGGAGTAGTGGGTGGAAGGCGACCGCTCGCGAAAGGCACGAAGACTGCGTCATTCCCTTGAGCGCTCCAATCATCTCATAGCCTTGATTAGGCCTCGTAACCCCGCCTTCCACCTGTCAATCCCGACGAATCAAAGGATAGATCTAATTATCATAGTAACAGACGTCAACGTCTTCACACGTTCCCATTTTTGTAGAGATTCTTGAGCTATGTTTTCATTCAAAAGAGCAAATCAAGATGAGCACTCTTACAAAATTTTTAGTATTAAATGTTCTTCTTTCCGAAGACTATAGCCATCTCAATACTTAGGCGTCGGCCAGAATTCGCTGCGCTAAAAAGCGCCCAAATTTTTCTAACCCTTCTTCACTTTCTTTCATCTTTCCGCACACGAAAGTGAAGAGAGATTAGTTTGGGGGCGCTTTTAAGCGCTTTTAGGCGCTTTCGGGGTCTGGCCAGGCATACGAGTTTGATCGTCCGGTCGGACTCCCAGAATTTTTCTTAAAACAACCTCATTTAGCATTGGATTTCCAACAATCGATTAATTTGCACGTGATTAAGCCGTAGAGGAAGTTAGATATTTCAAATTCAAGACGACAAATGTAGTGGGCTCTAAGTAAAGATTTACAGAGAGCTGAACACCACCTTGTATATTCAATCTGTCTTACCTTCAGTGCAGTGCAAAAGAGATCAGTGTTGAATCACTTTTCCTTCTTCTAATCCTACTTAGAGATTCATTCTAATTCGCAGTAACAATGACAGAGCATGCATTTTCGCCTAATTGTAAGAAGTCATCCAAACCAAACACCTAGAAAATGGGGGGAAATTGCGGAGAACTTTTGCGTTCGCTTTTTAACCATAAACTCAGCAAGAAGTTGAAAAAAATTCCTGGAAATTCCTAGCAAGAACAGATTCCCTTCCAAGTGGTTCCCGTTCCAACGGGATTTATATAAGGCTTTTGCTTCTAAAGGAAGAGTGGGACAAACTTAAGAGGGAACGAGATGTTCGTCGTAATAATAGCGTTGGACGCGCTGTAAATGCGGTTCCTTCTGCTGATGGTGCCACTGACCTTTTCTTAAATGCTAGGTCTTTCTCGTCTAATGCTATGTTCGCTCATACACAACCAAGTCCTATTCGTCAAAATGACTCAAATGTATAACCATTCCGCTGACTGTGGTAAACTTCTCGAAATGCCTTCTTGCCAATATACGCTCTCTGTGCAGGAATACTGACATCACATACCATATGAATAATGATGACTTGACCATTATGGGATTGACAGATATTTGGTTGAATCATGACGATAGTGATAACACATTATTTGGAGGTTTCGCGAACTATTCAATTTTTAGGTGTGACCCTGAGAGAAAAAGGGGTGGCGGCGTGCTCTTAGTCATTAGAAGTAATCTCAACCCCTACTTATATTTAGTGTATCCGTACCCGTGTCTTGAGAGTTACGAAATTGTTTGTTCGGATATTGTTGGCTACAGAACAGTACGCATTATTTTGGTATATAGGTCCCCTTCATATGCTGCAGAAAAGGCACAGCATTTGATGAAGACATTGACGGATTCACTCAGTTTGCAACAGTTGCTTGCTACTAAAGGGTTCAACTTCCTCGGTATTGATTGGCCGTACTACGCTGCTGACATGCTGGCCCGGTGTGGGAGCCCTTCAGAAATTTTATTCATATGTGTCAACTATCTGGGCTTTCACAGGAAGTACGTTCAAATATCCTGGGACACAATAAGCTGAATTTAGTTTTTACCAATGAATGTCATCTTATTACAATGGTTAGAGTTGTTGCTCCACTGGGCGCAAGTGATCATGCTACAGTCAAATTTACTCTTCATGACTACGTCGATAACCCGGAATGCATTACTCGTAGGGATTTCAAACATAAGGATAAGGAGGGACTTATCTATCATCTCAGTGGTATTGACTGGCACGGATCCTTCAACTCGGTTGAGTCGGTTGATGCTATGTATGAGATGTTTTTATGCATCTTGCATCATGCTGTTGTTTTATACGTCCCATGGGTCTCTCTTCCACCCGCACTATAATGCTACCAGATCACCTCCAAAGGTTGCAGTGTAAAAGAGATAGTGCATGGAAAAAAGCCAAAAGCACCGGTAGAAACGTACTGAAAGCGATTTAGACGTAGTAATACCCACTTTTCTAAACAATTGAAAAAGTATGCAGCTGTGAAAAAGGAATTTTTTCCTATGACAATAAACTTCTCTCTACAGATGTTCTCGACTTTCTGTAAGTTCTCGACTCGAGGAAATGAGTGAATTTGGTGCCCTCGTGTCTGAGGCTGCATCAGTATCGATTAATGACTTTGATAAAGCCGAATGTTTCGCTAGCATGTTTGAAAAAGCTTTCCGCCGAACATTCGAAGAGGTTGTAAGAGCCCTAAGGGAGTGTCCCAACTCCCATTCTGTTTAATATCTATACCTGTGAGCTTCCCAGATTCCTCTTGATTTTGGCTTTAGTCGCTGTGCCTTTGCAGACGACCCAAATTGTTCACCACAGTAATGGAGGATAGTGATAGCAGGCGTTTGCAGCTAGTTCATAAATGGTCACAAGATTGGAGTTTGCGAATCTTAGGGAGAAAACCAACTCATTCACATTGGGCCATCACATTGTAAACCAAACTCCATCTATTTCCTGGATAACTCAGCACTGCAGAAAGTGGAGTCGATCAAGGACCTGGGATTCCTGATAAAACATAATCTCACTTTTGATGAGCATTGCAGGCTTACTGCAGATAAAGCAATGCGGGCGGTCTGCAACCTTTTCAGAGCTCTCTCAATTAAGGAAGTAAACGTTCTTTTGATAGCGTATAAGACCTATATCAGACCTATGTTGGAGTACCGAACAGTGATATTTAATCCGTATTTAATCAAAACTATAAATTTTTTTGGAAAAGGTTCAAAGCAGTTCTCCGCGGAAGCTGTTTATCCGTGTTATGGGTTTGAGTATGATCTCATACCTGACGGTAAAACTCGTAATAGGAAATTAGGTTTATCATCCCTTGCCTATATGAGTCGTAGAAGTGAGCTAATGGTTCTCAAATCTTGTTTGGAAATTGCGGCCTTGAGGTCAAGGAGTTCTTCCCTACCATACGATCCAAATACTAGAGGTGGTTCCAGAAAACTATTAGATTGTAACAGAATTAATGCAGTTTTTCCAAATTTTGAGTTTGGATTACTATAATTTTTCACAGAAATAGTTAATCCGTTCCCAATAAAAATTACTGCAATCAGCAAATTTTTGGCAATTTAACACGCACTAACTTGCCGTTGTAGCTTTGCTGAGAAAAATTTCAAAGCCTGAAAACTGCCAAAAATTTTCTTGAAAAACCTTCAGTGAGAGAACATAACTCACTAGACAATGTAGTAGAATGGTACAAACTTCATTCACTGTGCAGATAGTAGTCGTTTGTGCAGCAGCGTTAAAGTTGATTTTTACGAAAAAAATTTCGCTAGAAAATATTGCAAAATTTTGTAATCAATCATTCTTCACAAGTGCTCTCAGAAAACGAAAAGGGCTTTTTTGTTTTTAGTTTGAATTTTCTCATCGTCGAAGAAAACAACAGCTCCCGGTTTTTTGCTTTTATGTGTCCTATGTCTATTCTTTCTGCGCGCGGCGAAAGCTCCGCAATTGCTTCGCATTTGGGATTATTATACGCCGCAGAATGATAGCAGCGGTTGTGTGGGTTTGAAATAAAATTTCTCGGTCTGAAAACATTCGAGAAATTTGCTTTAATGTGCATTTTGTAGCACAGATCATATACAAACACTATGCCAGTTAACAAAAAATTCCGATTTTTCGCGGTGGATTTAGAGTAGAGAGTGTAAAAGGAAAAAATTTTAAGGTTTAGTCTCTTAGTTTTAAAAGCATGTAATTTCGAAATGAATCCAATTCTCCTGAAACGAAAGCGTGCCTAAGAAACTAGAAGAAGAGTGCTTTCAGAAGGTATGCATAGTTTCCTAAGACAATGGAACTTTGTTTTGAACCAACACTTTGAAAAAAAGGTGTGGAAAACCTGCATTAATTGTTACAACCTAATAATTAGCCCCAGGGCCAGACTTAGGGTCAGGCGAAGTTTTTTTACCTGTCGCGTTCTTCATGATATGGATAGGCTCATAAGAATCCGATCTCCTGCTAAGCTATCTTTGTTTGAACGCATTTTGAAAGATTATTAACACTCCGACAGTGGAAGCTGTTACTAACACATGGGTCTATATTGTTTTTACATTTTCGCAAATGCATTCCTTTTTGTTTTATGGTTCATTTTTTCGTTATGTCTGACTGGGATATCACCCATGTAATAAATGAAAATAAACAGATTTGCCTTCGTCACTCTAAGTTGTAGTCATAAACTTTGCAGATCAATGTATAGATAGTAATTTCAATCCTAAGTCTGTCCCAATAAGGAGAAGTAAAGAGGTGGCCTGAAATCGCGCACAATGCACCGTCTGGTGCAGAATTTGCAGGAGATCAGAGAGAGTGAGGGAAGGGTTCAGTCAGTCATACACCCGTACAACCTGATATTGTCTTTAGCGCGCCGATTCAAGCCACGATATGTTGTTTTCTTCCGTTTTGATGAAAAGACATGATTAAATTTTATTAGACAAGGTGAAACCTTGAATACGAAGGCTTATACGTATCATACAAACCGCAACAAATTAATAAATAATTACAATCAGATATGAGTTACCTATGGCTATAGTCTTTCTTGAATGAGCAGAGTATGTACAAAAGTGATCAGAGAGGAGTATAAGACACTCAACAGATGAAATGGTCAGTTAAGTAGAGGCAGTAAGGTGTTCATCCGCGGGTAAGGTAAAACTCTTGAGATGAGAGAGGCGAGATAAAGAATTCTTGCGCAAAAAAAGAGGTAATCTAGGCAAGAAGAAAGCTGAGGAAGTAAAGATAAGAAGAGATAGTGGTGTCGAATTATGATGAAACTGTATGAATCGGTGTTGCTGGACTCTGCACCTTTTCTAAAGCGTGCTCGACGAGCTCAACTTTTTGATGACCAACTCCAAGGTATCGGAACAGCGATAGAGTCAACTCCAAACCGAAGAAGCAAGCTGCATTAGCTGGGAACGCACGCAGCATTACAGGTACGAAGCCCTGCAGTAAAAATTTAGATCTTCTCTGCAAACAATGGAAAGGTTTTGAGGTTTCTTTCTAAGGTGGAATACCAACCTTGAACAGTGCGCGGGGTCCTTCTTCTCTCATAACTTCTCTGAAGACCCCTCGTATGCCATCGGGGTACTTGCCTTCAGGCGCTGTTTGTAGGCGAGACTTCAGCACATCAGCCGGTATGCAAACAGCCCTAAAAACTTAGTGTTGACAGAAGTTGCGAAAAAAACTCAGTAATTATGCTACTTCACAAAGTCTGGAACTCCTCTATAGAGATTTTCTCAACAACAAAGATGTAAAAGGTTGGAATCAAAAAGTCACGTTCAAACGCAATGAATTTTGAAAAAAGGAAGGGCAAGAAACTTGGCAGAAGGGCGGCTTAATTTTTATGTACATTCATTTCCACCAATGAACCAAAAGGAATCATTACAAATTTTGTAACAAATTGTTCACTCAGAATGCGGACTTCTCTCTCTCTCTCTCTTCACTCCTTCAAGATATATACAGTTAAATAACCTTGTCAAACAGAAATGAAAGACAAAGGGTACGTAGAAAGAAACTAACCAATTAGCAATTCCCGCGAGACCACCAGCCATAAGTGTGGCAGCGGGAGACAACGTGCGCTGCCTGCCTTCTCCAGAGAATTTCTTTTTGAGGAATTCGTAGACAGATAGATAAGCCGCACTGGCTGGTATATCTAAAATGGTCCAATAAAACCATACTTGCGTAACAAAGTTTTGTTACAAGAAACAATACCTCGAAGTAAAGTGGCAGCAGTTCCTCTGTACAGACTAGCAAGACCTCCTTGTTTGTACAGCTTCTTCACAACATCCATTGGGCCATTGTAGTGTACACCAGTGTGATGTCCGCTTGATTGCACCTAACAAAGCGAACGATAAACTCAAAAAATAGATCAATGATCTATTTTTAACCTGTAGTAAGCATTTGATGCGTTCTCCGGGTGTCATCACGATAGTCGTAAATACACCAGCCAATGCCCCACTGTTCATGTTCTGAATAAATGTCATCTCTTGGTCTGAAATGGCGAGATTAAGAACATTTTGAGAGAATCTTGTAGCTCACCTACCAGGATGTGTTGTCTGCAGATGTTTACCAACTGCACATCCAGCAAAGAATACAGCGAACAATGGGCTTACACCTGCTAGAGGAGCAGCCATACCCTGAAAGGAACTATATGAGATTTTGAAAGATAATGCAGAATCAAGTTGTCTTCTTGTTCACAAAACTTCATATTTCGTATATTCCGATTTACGCTGATGGACTTTTCTAAAGTTACTCTAGGCATGCCGATTTCACATGTCACCTGTCAATGTCAATAACGTCAGATGAAAATACAGAAGGTGACAAATTGGCAAATTTGGCCTATAAAAACGGACGGCTATGTTGAAAGCGAGAACCTTACAATTTGTTAGTCCTTTTCTTTAGCTATTTGAGGAGAGTTGAAGAAAGAAAAGAGGATGTAGAATAATTTAGCGATGCTAATTATGTAAAAATTGATAAGCTACAGTATGAATTGAGCGGCCCCTCTGCGCAAACTAACCTTGTATAATGCAAAAAAGCCCTCCTTCGCCACTGTTTTCTTCACACAGTCCAACGCACCAAGATAGATTGGCGGCTGCCCAGGTTTTGGTGCTGGCATAGTTTGGAGTCGTACCTAAATTCGCATTTTGAGAAGATTTTCTTTCCCAATCGAGTGGGGTCATCTAAACAGGAACTTTCTTAGAGGGTCTGATGATGAAGGAAGTCAGATCCTTCAGGTAAAAAAGGCAGAAATCCTGAAGATCATATATTATATTTCAATCGCATGCAAATGTTGCTGCAATAAGTCTTTCTCTGTTCGACTGCATAAGACCCTCAACATAATCTTTCTCGCTGCTACATATTTTCTCACAGTTTTGATTATAATACTCTTCCTCCTATTTTGATTTAATCCACTTAAAGGCAGTGTCCAGGCTAAATCTACCTCCTTCCGATTAGTGTCAGTCCTGAATGTAGGCCCCAGAAAAGGGGCATCTGCGCTGGTCCGGTCTTCTAACGTTGCCTCTGAATGCAAATAAGGGGCCTGGAAGTCCCTGGCTGGGCGGCAAATTCTGGGTGGACCGTGCCTTCAAAGGCCACCCAGATCGATTTCCACGTTTCTATCGTTGCAGGGGCCTTCTCACGTCCCTGATTTCGAATATAAAGTCGAGAATGCGCGAAAACCCGAAGTACAGTATTTGGCCAACGTCCATCGGCCGAAAAATAAGATGCTCCAAACAAAGAGAGCCTAAACCTTGTTGAAAACGCTTTCTTAGATAGATCCCTATGTAGTTGGAGTTATTTTTCAAGGCGGATCCAAGAATGATAATTATTTTGCAAGGTAGCCCATCCCTGCATACTTGCGTTAGGTGAACTTTAGCGAGACTAAATTCTCATAATGTATTTGCCTCAATTTCTACTGTTGTATAAAAATCAGCCGAGCACTTTATCGGTTTTAGGCGTAAAAAATGATTTTGTCTGCAATCACGGGGTCAACACCTTATTTTACGCCTAATAAAGTAGTAAATTCTGATTTCATCAAATTTTATGAAATTTTCGCCTGTTCGTCCTTCACATGCCCGACATCGTATATTACGCCTATTTCTACATCCCACTTATTTCGACAGTTGTTTAGTTCTCATCTTTTTGCAGGTACGTTTTCATTTCACTATCACGCTTATCTCTCATTTCTTCTCTTTTCCGAGTGTGCATAACCTTCTACCATCTATGTTGTCGCATTAATATGAATATGCGAACCATATGATGGGCTGAGGGAAATCACACTTTGCTTTCCTGGTAAATGCTCATCTTCAATTCCTTGTGTGGGTCTTTCTCTTTAATATTGGTAAAAATAAAGATATATATTGTCGATATATGTGGTCAGTCCATATAAGATCCTCAAGCACTGCATCTGAGACTGAGATATTCACCCGATCTGCTGTGTACCTAGTGGACATGGAGACCAGCTCAGAGTCAACGGCCTCATTAGTAGCGCGACGAAACTTAGGTCGCCCAGGAATATGCAAGTCATTGTCGAATACGTTCCTAGCCATACTAGGTATTCATCTTTCATCTCTGTATTATCATTAATACGACATGGAATCAACAACTGGAAACAGGTTCATTACTAATAATTGTTGTTTAATTGAATAATTGCTTCTAATCCACTTGAGATCGCGTGTGAACTAATTATGACCTCTTCCAGTACCGCTGTAAATAAGTGCCCGATATGTCATTTCGACATGAAGGCTGAACTTTACAAACATCTCGCTCGAGTTCACGGTTATACCAAAGAACAAATTGACATCATCAAGACTGAAAAAAGAAGAGAGAAGTTAGCAGCCACAGGGAAACCCATATTCGTCTGCGAATTATGTGGCGCGCAGTATACGAATGAAGTCATCTTCCAAAGACATCAACGAGCAAAACACCCTGATGACTATACACTGAAAGCAATAAGATGTCCAATTTGTGATGAGGAAGCAATTGTAAGTATCTCTACAACGTAAAACTTCCTATTAATTGTCAAGACATATTTAATCTCTAATTTTGAGAAAACTATCCTAATTTTTGCTTAGAATCATCGTGAGCTTACCAATCACGCCCGTCTCTGTCATTCTAACAACGAAGATGACTTCATCGTAGAAAGATTGAGTTTTACAAACAAGCAGGATTTCGAGGTTGGACTGGTTTAGCGTTATTCTTCACACTTAAACTTTAGAGCACTGTTCTTGAGGTGTGGAGAATTGCTTCGGAAGAAGCGCACGTCATAAGCCGTTTTACCTCAAAGGTTAAACACACGGAAGATGCTAAAATTATCTACATGCGCTGTCATCAAGCGCTACGCACACCCAACGATGTTCCTAAAAAAACCAAGAAAACCGTCGCATACTGCACCGCATATATGAACGTTAGCAAATTTGAACAATTTGATCAAGTTTTCATGTATACATATACGCGGCTGCAGATTACTGAGAAAGAAGACGGCATCTCTGTTGAACATTGTTTCACCCATTGTGGACACGAGGCTAACCCAGCGAAACTGCGATTAGACAAGGATGCAGAGCAGTACATCATTTCATTATTGAAAGACGGCCTCACAGTTAGACAAGTGCACAAGAAGCTAAGAGCGAAAGTGAGAGGTGGACCCCGCACACGATTGTACTTCACGACAACGAGAGACATAAGGTGCATTGTGATTTTTTACCAATCCAGTTCCATTCAACTAAATAAGCGTTTAGAAACCTCGCAACAAGATGTCGCGTGCAACCAGGACGACTGCACAACCTTGATACAACGTCAGTTCAGATGCGCGTAGACCTTAACGATGATTCTGACGGTGTGCAGTTCTTCCGAGCCGCACAAGATGCAAGTGGAGACGGATTCACTCTTGGTATAATATTGAAAAGCTTACTGTAAAATTATTCCAACCAACGTTTTAGTCGTTATCACCCCCATCCAGAAAGAGTGGCTAGGAAAATATGGCCGCAGGGCGCTATGCTTGGACGATACCTTTAATCTCACCTCTTACTCGCTCAGACTCACCACTGTGGTGGTTGCAGACGAGTGGGATAGAGCTCTTCCAGCCGCTTACCTACTCTCGTATAGGTTCGCTCACTTAGCATTAATCGAGATAATATGTCTACATTGCTGTTCAGAATGACTGAAGTTGAAGTAGGAATCTTGTTTGAATGCGTGAAGAAGCTGTTGCCCTCTTTTCATACGGAGTTCTTCATGACAGATGACACAAATACCTTTTGGAACGGCTTCAGAAAGGTGTTCACAACGACACATACCAAAAGGCTGCTATGTCTCTGGCATGTGCAACAAGCAATGAAGAGGAACGCATCGTCAAAACTTGTTAATGTGAGAATATAGTCATTGTCTGTAAAATCAACTATTACAATAACCAACATTCAGTCAGAACATCTCAAGCCATTCATGAAAAAAGCCCGTGAGATCTGCCTTATACGCAGTCGCGAGATTTTTACTATCAAATACACCTCGCTTCTGAAATTTCTGCGTGATCAAAGCGAAAACGTACTCGCAACCTATATGGAGAACTCCTGGTATGTAAATCACGAGTCGTTTGGATGACAAAGTAATAATTGATAACCTAGGAGCGATAGAATTGAACAATGGGCAGCTTTTGGACGACTGGGATCCTGCGTTAGTACATCTATGTTGTGCGAAAGGTTCCACAAGACCTTGAAACACGACATTCTGGAGGGAAAAGCTAACGTCAGGATTGACAGTCTGCTGCAGCTGCTCATCAACTTGGTTACTGAGGCTGAGGAGGAAAGAGAAATTGCGGTAATAGTTCAATAATATTTATTGCTCATACCAATAACTTCTTGATAGATGGAGAGAGGAGTAGAGGAAGGACGTTACCGGCTCCAGCAGCACCATAAGTCTCACGCGGCAGCAGTGAGCAGATATGCAGACAGACCACACACAATCTCAGTAACGGGCAGCGGTCAATGGGAAGTGAAGGATGATGGCTGCACTTACCAAATCCAAGAACACTTTTGTCCATGTGACAGCCAGGTACTGATGAATACTCATGGCGAGAACTGCAGTCACATCATTAGCACCTCTAGTTGAACAACCATTGCAAACGAGAGGACTGCAAGGCATGCCCTTACGCATATGCATGCAATTGCTCGATGGATGTAAGAAGTGGAATCAGCTGCCATCATGTGCATGCGGTACTCATGTACGCACCATCAGGTGAGATTTAATGTACAACTCTTTTTATCCAACACATTACACCAAACATTTGATAGGTATGCGGGCCGCACAAGAATCTCCTGCACGTTCTCCCTCTCCTCTGAGAATCGTGATCGACAGCAGTGACGAAGATGAAATGATTGAGGTAGAGGACGAAGACTTATATGTGATGGATGAAGAAGCTGCTCCCTTACCGCGGCGTTCTACGGACAACCGTGATGAGGCCAGAGATGTGATGCAAAAAATAGAAATGGTAAGGTGGCAACGATTTGAGAATATAAAAGACTGTTTGCACTATTCAGGACTACGCTGCAGGCAATGTCGACTTGTTCACTCTAAGAAGCCACACCAGTGATGAGGTAGTAATGGCGACCATCAGAGAGGCAGGGAAGCTCATAGAACGCTACAAGAAACTGATGGCCGATGCAAAAGCCAGCAAGATGGGGAAGGAGAATTCAGTCAAGCTTGCAAGGCGTACAGGAATATCCAGCGTTGGCCGCCCACAAGGATTTACCCCCATTAGGAAACTACATAAGGTAAGAGTTAAGATAGTTGGACTATAATGCAAATGCAACTCGTGTCACTTTAGCGATCTCATCTGCGGAAGTGTGAAAGATCGAAGCGCAAAAGAACACCAGAACTAGAAATCCCCGACTGTGCTGCGGATGAGAGAGACACATGCTCTGTGTGTCTCCGAATGCAACCAAACAATCTAGGAAACCGTACTGAGATATCCTGGATCCAGTGTCCCAAGTGCGAAAATTGGATGCATAGTGACTGTGTAGGCACTACTTGTCCAGATGACGGGACTAGCTTAGAATGAAACCAAAGAATTTTTATGAATGTGTTGTATATAGATTATATATAGTAGTACATAGTTATAGATTTATATTACAGCGTTATAGATGTCTAGAGTATAGACATATAGGTTATAGATATATAGAGATTAATGAGATGTATATACATGCATACTGCATAGTTGTAAATAGTGTATTAGAGTATAGTCATAATAGAATATATCACATATATATGTTTGCTGTGTTTGTACAAATTATTAGACTGCATATACGAATGAATTTGACCAACCAAATTCTGCACATGTCATCCCCGATACATCACATGGCTCACACCATTGAAAGATGTGAGAACATATGACATGAAAGGGGAAGCACGCATAAAGTATTGAGGAACAGACATATGACGAGAAAATATCAGAATCATAATAAACGTGATAATGACCAAAAAACCTCAAACATACCTGCAAAAAGACGACTAGACGAGAACAGGCGAAAATTTCATAAAATTTGATGAAATCAGAATTTACTACTTTATTAGGCGTAAAATAAGGTGTTGACACCGTGATTGCAGACAAAATCATTTTTTACGCCTAAAACCGATAAAGTGCTCGGCTGATTTTTATACAACAGTTCAATTTCTGGTAAGCGGTAGTTCAAGACGAGCATTATGACTGCACGTCAAAAAAAACCGCGACCAATCTTATCTCCGGCAGTGCAAAGTACGTTGCGCATATTATCGGAGAATGACTTACAAGTTTTCCACAGAAAAAGCGATGGAAATTATGTCCAAAATGAAATTATTTCCCATTCACAAACTATCTGATTAAACTTTTTTTGCCTGTCAATTGTTTCCTCTGATTAACTAATGCTGAATACTGAGTCTCACTTTTTCGACCCCATTTCAGATGGAGTCACAGGTTACAACTTTGTTTGTTCGATATAGGCAATACAGCCCTCCGCAGTATGTACCTATGAAACACATATGTTCAAAGGAAATTATTTATAATTTTGCTGCCTAACCGAAGTCTCTGACGAGCTTCTCTGACGAGCAGTCTTTCGAAATATTATACATCAAAGCGTTTCGCTTGCACACTTTTTGACGAAGGGGAGGAACACCACTCTTTTACATTACCGCTCCCAAGCTTGAAAGTGACCTAAGAAAAACTGCTAGAAATTTAGCTTTACCTTCACAGTGTCGAATGGATGACCAACGATTACGGTGCATGATCCACCTACACCGCCAGCAACGAAATTGAGTAGAACGTCAGTCATCTCGATGGGGAGGGCTACAAAATCACATAATGTGCAATAAATTTTCACACTACATACAGTAAAATGACAGTCAGCTATTCAAAAAATATACAATAAAAATAATTGCTGAGAATTTGCTGCTGTGGAGAGATGAGAGATGTACGAGCGTTCAGCGGCCAAGCAAACGACCGAAATACGATGAACTTTGTACCCGTTTGATTGTAGGCTGTCGCCATGTTGGCCGCCTAGCAAAGGCAGCGATAACATTCGTGTGCGAAATGCCCCTAAGTATGGCTAGTTAGCGCTCCTGGCAACTGTTTCCTCTGTGAGGAGGCCTTGTCACCAAAACCGTTCTAACAAAAATATCTACACCGCGAAGGATCAATATAGTAAGTGAAAACACGAAGAAAGATGCGCATTCGGTGAATGCGATTTCTTTCACTATTTTGCACGCAGAAAAGATCAATCTAGCAGACAACAAAGATTCTTTTCAGGGCAGAGATCGTACGCGAAAAAAGAAGTCTCGATTTGTCATAACAAGAGTTGAGCTAAAAAAAGAACATGCTATATTAACCAGTGTAAATAAGTTTCCGAAAAAACATTCTCTTTGCACGTGAAAGCGACATCGACATACTCTAGACATGATTCTCTATGCCCTTGACGAGCATTTCATTCCTTGAACCAAACATGCCAGTCTCACTTGGATTGGGCGAATTTTATTTCTGTAGTTTGCTACTAGTTTGACTATTTGTTGAGATTTAACAAGGTAGTTGAGCCCTACACCCTATCACAGCAATCATCCTTGTTAGCGAGAAATTCATATTATCATCAGCGATCAGCAATGACTGACACAAGCACTGTAGCGAAAAATCGGTGCCATAAAAATTTTTTTAGATCCAGAGAGTGCTCAGGAAATCTGGAATAGGTGACTCAATAAAAAATGAAACAATCTTTTTTGCTTTCTACACTTTTGTTTCTTCAATATCAACAACGCTCTCCTACAGAACATATGCCTGCCTGCCTGCCTCTCCTGCTTCCCCATACTGCTGGAACATGAAGATTCAGACTATGAAAAACATTGATCTACATACGCCTGCTTAACTCCCATGCGAAAGAATCAGCTTTTTCAGAATCTTCCTGAGACTATACTCATTTCTCAGAATAAATCTACAGTATGTGAAGAGTGATCTCAAAGAATAATTAAAAATCTTTTTTATTTAATAATTCATATCAGTACGAAGGACGAGTGATAACATTAATTCCCCATTACAGTAGTTCTCAAATACAACGATAGTCATCCAGAGCTTGTCCCGTCTTGTTTTGTTTACATGTATTTGATAGTGACAGACTAACAATAACACTATTAATAGAACACTAATGTTTCATAAAACTGAAGTGAAGAATAATTCTTGTAATACTAGACAATGATCATAAAAAGACAGCAAGAGAAAATTTCAATAAAAATTAGTAGGCGCTCGTCAGACATTTGATATAGTCAAGATCTTTATGCAATCAATTACGGAATCTACATTTCCGTTCGACTTACTGATAATAAATTGCTACATGGGCTCAATAAGAGATTCCGGCTTTAATTCTCAAAAATGAAGGTCAGATGCTCTCAGAACATCTACATTAGAAGAGGAACTTTCTGCCAAGAATACATTGAAAGCCACACAAATCTCATCGCTTATAGTGAGGAAGTGCAGTTTTTTTTTTCGCTCAGCGTGCGATAATCGTCTCATCGTTCTACATATGTCGCCCGAATCCCATAGCCGTACTACAATTCCAAACGATACAAGGGCAGACTACTGTGACTACTGAAAGCGTTCCCACTTTTATTGCCACTAACCCAGGAACCCATGAAGATGTAAATAAATGACAGAAACTTCTGCCTCTGTGAACACACTGCGTTAAAGCAAGTAGTTTATACCCGTACCAACAGTAGTTGCTCAGAAAATGTCTTTCTTCCTCTTTTGTCTGTCACCCAATTCCGACTGAACTCTTTGCCGTTTCGCTTGTGTCCTCTGGATCTCCTTTTCTACTTCAGCGAGACCGTTTTTGAGCCGTTCCACAGTTCGCTTGTCGTGCTTATTTCTCGCAATTCCCTGAAACAAATCTCCTAACAACTTCTAGGACGACCTATAGAATATTACCTCAAGCAGCTTCTTTTCTTTGCTTCGCAAATGTTTCAACTCGGATTCGAGGTCAAGCCCTTGCACTCCAAGTGCCCTTAAATGACGATTTACTGTGTAGGTTTCTAACAAGCAATAAAAGTTTTGATCTGATCCCGAAAAGAAAGGAGATCGACATTACATAAGTTCTCAAAAAGGAGCTAAAGCCGAGAAAGTGGGAAAGATCAAAAGCGGAACGAACGGATATCCAAGCTAAAAGGCTGAAGTACTGGAGAAGAATTGCATGCGAACGTAAACTCTTCTCTACATAGTAGTCCGAGCCAGTTCGACAAGACTCAAGGATGTTCACATGAAGAAAAAGACAATTACATGGGAAAAATTGTCAACACATACTGATGATGGCGATACAAGGGAAAAACAGGCGACAAAAGACCGATGTTTATGAGCAAAGGCACATGAAACGTTCCCAGATTGGAGTAGAGAAAGGTTTTTTTCGTAGGATTCAAAGCAGAAGATGAACGGATAAAGCTCAGTAGCAAACGAAATGATATACTCTAATCTTCCCAAGGTGAAAAAGCGAAAAAAAAACGAAAAATGATGGCGAGTGCAACTAGACAGCTTATTCAATGGCATTCTTAGGGTGCCTTCATACCGCGCCGACAGCCGCCGCTAGCCACTTTTGTGCACTATCCCAGTATCCGCATCTTAAAACTGAAACATGAATCTTGCTCAAACTTGGTTTGGTAGGGTTGTTCAACATACTGATTACAAATGACTTAATCTTTCTACGTTTTGGAAAAGGCCTTGGAATACTGGGATAGTGCGCTAAAGCGGCTGTGGGCGGCTAGCGGCGGCTGCCGGCGAGGTATGAAGGCACCCTTAGCATATAAAATGCATAAAATGCAAAATAGTCGAAAGCACGTGAACACTACGATGAATTCCACGTAACCTCGCTCAACAAAACAACTGTGCAGACTTCCTTAAGTCTGCTACAGTAATTGCGTGAGATTACTGATTTGACTGTGATAGATTTGCTTTCTAAGGAGGCGTTCGAGAGCGAGCATTTCAGGTAAGCCTGTTCCTACAAAAAGTCTATACAATAGAGCTTACTTTACGCTGCTTTTAGCTAATCTGCGATGTTCCTCTTTCAGCTCCTCCTCCTCCGATTTTGCTGGGGGCTGCTCCAACTTTCGATTGAGGAATGTGAAAATGTCAACGTCGACTGAATTATTCGTTTGCTTCATCCCTTCCTTTACTCGCGTTTTCACCTAGATAGTGGTGCCATGGCCAAAGGGAGAAAAACAGAAACACGGCTTACCTTTTGAATACCATCGACCACCTTTACTTTACCAGTCATGCATGCATCAACTGAGCTGTCTAAAAACAAAATTGAAGGAATTTACAAGACATAATCTCTAATGTTAACAATCCAAATTCGGAATCGCAAATTTCGCTAGAACTTAAATACCGGGTTATTTCAACCTGATCACCAATAACTTTCGCAGCCCCCAACTCCTGACTCTGGTACATATGTATGCAGTAAAAGCCCACCCTAAGGGCGCTCTTCGGTGCTATCCATTATTATAGCCGCAAAAACGCACTGTTAAGTTGATTCGGAATCTATAGGGTGCGGAAAAAGTACTGTCCCTCCAACTTGGCACTTGAAATACCCCAAACATAAAGTAAATCTGTATTTTTTTGATTCCCACAAGTAGGCGAGATCCTTGAGATTAGATAAGGATAAGTTTGATTTGAAACTGTTCCCTTCTATCCGTCTGAACGAATGATAACAGCGCGCAAGAACATTAGCGATGCGCCGAAAGTATACAAGCGCGATTTTGGACCGTAACTATACCACCAGCATTGATATAAAGTTCAAATTAAGCTGTTATGTAGTGCATGACCACTTCTCCAACATTCTATACCCATTATAGATGAATTATAGATTTGTCACTCTTGTTTTAGCCAAATAAAAAAGAATACACCACACGCAACTCGCAAAAATATTCGAAAAATAGGCGAGTCAGGACTGCGCTTGCTTAATGAATTGGACTCAAATTATGATTCGAAATTCCAGTTTCGAACAAAAAGTAACAGGAATAATGAAAAAAGCATCGGACTTTGTTTACATCACGATTTTAGAGAGATAAACGATTATACCTAGACTCTGTGCCACGTTTTCTGATCGCACTCAGTTGCGCCGCAGCCACATTCCCGTTAGAAAAATTCACAGCTTTTCTCCTAGTGCAACTGGTGACTGGATACTTCCAGAATATTTTGGGATCCACTACCACATTTCTTAAGCAGTAGAGGATTTCTTAAGTTTGCGTAACAAACAAAAAAATTTCTCAAAAATCTTCACACTTCTTCACATTTGCAAAGGGGAGTTGCAAGATTTGATATGAGATGCGCTGCGAAAAGGGATCCGACGCTGGGTAAATTTGTAGAATTTTGAAGCCAGTTTTTGTAAAATGATAGAATATATTCCCATCTTGGGAATTATGTCAAATTTACCAGGGGAACCTGTGAATTACGCCAATTTTTTGAACTTTATTTTGAGGGACAGTACTTTTTCCGCACCCTGTAGACAAATTCACATAATAAGTAGACACAACGTCACCAAGTTCCGACAGCGTGCAAACCAAACACAATATTCATAATTGCGTACCACCTGCCCCTTTCTTGAGCTATGTTTTAGTGAAATCGGTGCCTTGATAGGATTACTACTGTAGTATAGAAACATATCATAAAACATAACAAGATGGAAGAGAGAAGTGATGAAGTTTAACTCACTTTTCGGGCAAATCTTTGCTTGTATAGCGTGAACAATACCATCACTGTTTTTACCAAGACCCTAAACTCAACAATGTGCTTTGAGAAGTGAGCCTCAGGAAAAGCTTAGGCTGTTGGTTAAATCAAAAATACCTCTCCCAACTTGTATCCCATCTTCTGCATAAGCTTCAATCCCAATCCACCTCCATACCAATTTCCAAGATCTCCCACGGTGACGTTTCCACATCTATCTCCTTTCTGCTCGTTCCAATATTCATTACGGCTATTCTCATTCGAAGCGTCAGCCTCGCTTGGGCTGGTCAAGTGTGAATTCTCGGCCACTTCTGGAACAGAAAATTAAAATATGAAGCGATTGGTTCAGTGCCACAACAACCTTCGATGTCGCCTTCCAATGGGACGATGTGATCAAACTTAGTAGAAACCTCGCTGTTGCTTTTGAGTATCCTAACAGCAATATCATTTTTGTGAATGGCTACGATACGACCGATCTCCCAAAGTGGTGAAGCAGCATTGACAGTCGAAAGAACGAGACTTCCGACAGTCAGCGAACTAAAAACTTCACGATACTACTGTTCCAGAGAGATACAAAGTTATCGGAATAACGCTATCCTAGTTCAAAACCAATACAATTTCAGTGCTCCTTATGAGAGTTTAGCACAGCAAATGAACTCACTTAAAATCTGGATCCTTGTATTCATCCATATCAGCCATTCGCACGACTTCACCATGGCTAAACTTGCATTTCTCATCGAAACGGCATGTTCCGGCAAGGAAGTGAGAACAAGGTCGCATTCCATTCAACATTGGATGGCTGTACAGAACCTTGGCCTTGAAAATGTTGGAAGAATTAAGATCAAGAAATCTGAAAGAAATTGATATTGTATAACCATCGATACCTGCAAGCCTTTGTCAGGACCAGTGACATCCTGCGGTAAAACTTCTAGAATTATAGCAGCGTGATGTGATATGGGTAGCTGTGCTTTTGGATAAGGGGCCATGCAACGCATCCCAACAAAGTCATCTGAAAATCTAATGCAGCAAATAGGCGACCGCAACCTGTTTAGCCATACCAAAATTAACATTATCAGCTTCAGCGGCTGGACTTTGAGCATCTTCCGCACTCCCACCTTCTTCAGCCTCAAGCGCAAAGTTGCAGAACATAGTAAAGTGAGAATAAACCAACCTGTTCATTCAGCAACTGTATTAGTTCAAGCAGATCTGCTCGCATTTCTAGCAGAGATGTACGCTCATCGTCATCTGTGACTACCGTTAACTGTTGATCGATTAGTGATACCTAAACGAGAGCAATGAGGTATGTCGATTACTGCCTATCTTTCAGATCCGGAACGCATATTTAGCAACCTATGACCCTCCTCAGTTATAAGGTCACAAAACTACTTTTCAGTACCTCTATGCACAGTGCAAGTTTGATCTCGGTTTTGAGTACGACCGAGAAGAAGTTTCGCGAAGTGCTACTCCGCGGGTATTTGCGTCTCTATGTTGGTGTGCCCATCTGATCTTAGCCCTGCACAAGCAGCCATTGAGCCACATGAAGGGACCCCATGGTTCCCCGCGACAGAGGCATGCACTTTTAGATATTCCACTTAACCTTACTCTGAACAAACCCGTGGACCAAGACTATGCCATAGAAGATCACATCGCTTTTCACTGATATGAAATCGTACGTTGGCGCAAACTTGGAAAATTATTTTGGGTAAACGAATTCCAAAGCTCGATACATTGAACACTGAAAAAGGGAGCGAGGTTTCCATTCTGCTGAACAAAACAAAACCATAACATCATTGTGCATCACAAAAAAAAATTTTTTGCCACCTATTTTCAGGTGTATAAGCCGCGGGGTGGTCCTAGCTTACATCGACCAGCCCGAACACATCAAAGAACCTCGCAACCAAAGGTCCCTATACCGTGCTGCGTATTGCCTAAAATAATCGTGCGGCATAAAGATCGCTTCTCGAAACACAATGAAGCGGTTGAGCAGCCCGGGCGAAAATTTGAAAAAGTGCGGCTTATACACCTGAAATTAGGGTAGTAAAAAAAATTTGCACCTAGGGTGAATGACGTACCATGTGACGCAGCATCGCCGAAACGGCTCTTTAGCGCTGCCACCATTATGATGTTAACCAGAACGCTGAAGAACCCCTAGACAAAATTTTGTGCGAATGCGGGATCTAGACTCAAACAAAGTACATCTACGGTAACCAAACATGGCAATATCGTGCACGATTTATGATGCCTCTGATCAACAAGCCAAAAATCTAGTACATTCTAGCGATAAAATGCCTAAATGCTTCTCAACTTGCTTTAATCTCATGTTCCTTAACTAACAAGGGAAGTTCGCTTGGTCGAAGTAGCGAGTCGGAAGATGATGTATACCGATGGATAGAGCTTTAAACGCTGATGTCAGATATACCTTCATATCTTCTATCCTGCTTTCCTACCTTATATCCTACCTTACTAGGTCCTCAAAATCTAACTACCATATTCGAAATCATTAGTTTCGAGTGTACCAAATGCTATATAATCCTTACGGGTAAAACTCTATAAATGTGTCCAAACAGATATAGATACTAAGTTGCGCGCAATTTGTCTCTACTTGTTTGTCAATCAAGAGAAGCAAAATCTCATACACGAATGGGTCTACCACAGCATTAGACTACAGTACTGGAACAAAAATCGTAGCAAACATATTTTTGCAGAATTGCAGCTTTATCAGATGGACTGTCATTGTTGTTAAGTTACTTTGCATAAAGATTTAAAAGAAATCAAGGTCGTTGTGCGTGCAGGAGCACCTCGCCACGGACAGCGGAATGAACAGTGCCTAAACCAGTGCCCGAGAATTATGCTGCAGTTGCGCCATTATACGAAAGATGCGATCATGGCAAATACTTCAGCGCGAAGCATTCCTGAAGACCAAAACATCAAAAACTTCCTGTTATGCTCATCGATGCAGATGTCATGAATTCAAGGAAAAAAACAAGGCGAAAAGAGCCTGACTCACTTGTTCCAGATAGTTTTGTGCTTCAGCAGAGGACATTGTGCCCTGCAGAAAAGAAACCTCAATTTAATTGCTTAGTCAGTGATGGCAACGATTTATATCAATACCTTATGGAGAAAAACATATTTACGAATCTGAGTAGAATGAATAGATCTTTATTAGGGCACAAAAAAGACTAGTCATGCTATTTTTCATATATACATCAAAGCTGCCTGATATATTCATATAGATCACTATTTTTCTCACTCTAATGTGCACGAACTGAGATTGTAAATACGACGTATATTGTAACATTAGAACTGCGACAACAAAGGACAACACATATTTCTCACGTAACTCATGCGGAAAAACAGCGGCAAAACTGCAAAACTCAACTTCTACATCACTGGTAAGCAAACAAGCAGTTCAGCAGCAGTTTTTCACTTTGATGTTTACAACAAAGAGGTGGACAAATTAAAGCAAACATGTTAGATTTTCTAACAGTAACACAAGCAGAGAAGAATTTCAATCATAAGTAGAACAGGAGTCTTGTGACAACGCTTGCACTATGATGAATCATATTCCAGGAAAGTCCTGCTCCTGCGTAATATGCAGGTATGGTCGGAGATCTATGTATGGGATCAAGACTGTTGCAAAAGCCCTGATTGAATAAGTTCATGTCTAAGTGAGTTGAATACTGCGATCTGATCCTCAGGTTGAAGCCATAAGATCTGCGTCACCAACTTCTCAGGATTTGGTACTCTGAAAAGAAATTGATGAGACATTGAAATGGGTTCAGAAGATGTCCAAGTTTAAGGCATGAATGACAACCAGCCTAGATTCTGAATTTATGAGCTTTGTTGAAACGTAGTCCTTTAAGAAGATATTTCTGCGTTGAAACCGCATAGACAAAAAGGCAAAAAGCATTTTTTTCGATGCTCAGGAAAGGAAGTGCAGTGGCTCCGGAAATTACAACTGCGAGCTTTCCATCCCTCCTTGTCCCTCTGGATGCGCTGAGCCCAGAGATGTGCTTGAAAAGCTAAGAAAGTCTTTTTATGGAGTTTTCGATATTGCTGTAGGGATGGGCGAGCGATCACCAACTGATTCGCGATTGGTTGCCTGAGCCGATCACCAATTGGCGCCGGTTGGAGTTACAGTCTCCTGCAGCCAGTCGCTGTGTTTCGGTAATCGCTCGCCCAGCCCCCTCAGCAATCTTCGAGATCGGAAAAGGAAAGCACTGTTTTGACTTTGCTAGCACAGTCCCGTACTCAGCGAATTCAAAAAGCCACGTATGGTGAAAAGCTCGCGGTCGCTATCTTCCCGAGCCACCGTCAAATCTAGGAGAAATTCTGCGTTATCGTAATAATATCACAAAAAAGGACGAGATATCTGTGAGAAAAAGCATAAATGACCTCACGATTTCTATAAAGCAAAGTGTAAAAAGGTATACCCAAGGCTCACCTAATGAATGTGTGAATGTAAACACTGACAAAGGTTCCCATCAAAAGCTGACAATCAAAACGATCCATTAGTCCACCATGACCCGGAATAACGTCACCAAAATCCTTCAAAAACCTAGCTTCATTTCTCGCAGTAACATTCTTTGATTACAACTGAAGGCAGCATTTCACATTGATCTCACCTTGATCTTAAACGCTCGCTTGAATCCACTGGCAAAGAATCCGCCGAATGGCCCGAGTAAGCTAGCGAACAACGCCATGACAATCGCATGGAGAACGAAGGGGAAGATGTGGATCTGAGGATCACGTCTGCAAGACAAAACATCGCACACTATAAGATCAAAAGAATGACCATTCTCACTTCAAAACGGCAAGGATCCACGAAAATGGACGCGGCACCGAATAATGCTGCGTTTGGAAAGATGATGGTATGGTGCAGTTTGTATTGTCAATGTAGTAATCCTCCACTGGACACACAAAAAACGGTCGATTGTGCAAAGAATAGGCAAGCTGAAAGTCATAACTGAGGCTATCGTAAAAATACACTGATTCTTCTCAAGAATGGAAAACATCTGTAGAGTCACGCATCATTGTGAGCCTATATTCGAGGAGAAATTAGGAAAAGTTCCTGGTGTCATTTAGCCACAAAAGAGAAAGATTAAATATATCAGATGTAATATAAACAATACAAGAACATGATAGAAGGGAAATCACTGACCAGAATTCCGAAAACCACGGTGCTTACAGCTCCTCCAATGAAACCCTCCCATGTCTTCTTAGGCGACAGCTTGATCAGAGGTGTGCGACCGAAGAAAAATCCGAACATGTACGACATCACATCACAGCAGATGATCATCGAAACCGGAGCGAGGAACCTTCATAGCAAGCATATGAAATGCAACAAAAACGTCCCCGTAATGGGCTCACCATATGGTTCCTTGGAAAATATTTTGAATGATGAAGAAGGACTGACAAACTATTAGCAGTAATGTAATGTGAGTCCAAGCAAACTAAAGTCATTTAAGTGACAACTTATCTCAGCTCAAACATATAAGGAGAACTCACCAGAGAGAATTGGCGTAGATAATAACCCTTCTTCAATGATAAAACAAACCACACGAATCCTACGCAGTAGAGTGCAAAACTAATTAGTCGATGATAAGAGTTCAGGAATTGCAGAAAATTCTAGATAATCGAGATAAATTATAACGGATGAGCACAAACACTTGGCTTACATCTTTCCTCAGCGCTATCGCCCAGTAATCGATAAGACTTTCTCCAAAAATGAAGTAATTGCTTGTGATGAGAAAGTACCTTTAATGTTATCAAGTAATAAAAATAATGTACCCAATAAGCAGCACAACCGCCCCTTTGTGACTAGCGAGCTATGAATCAATTCGTTTGAGCACCTTCAATATTCAAGATGAAGTACCCAAACAAATGATACCGATTCAAAGCATGCTTCCAACAAAGAACGGCTGTAACCACAGCGTCCTAGTACTGTCCATAGGTTTATCAGATTACCTCACGCACACCTTCCTTTCTTAGCTTCCACTCTCTTTCGTATCATAATCATTAACAATTGAAACCGATGGATCTAAACTCACCAAGAAAGTGCACGGAACCAGGGGAAGTCATACATGCGGTAAACGGCTAAGCCGATGCTGATGATTTCATGGAAACATTTGAACTGTATAGCAAACACCTGAAAAAACTTCTATGGAAACAAAAAATCAAATTATACTAATGAAAACTTACCAAAGCCATGAGCCATGTCGGTCCCCTGCTAACAATGAACGAAAACAGAGAAACCATGATTATGGTAAAAACGCCGCGAACTACCCAATTTCGCCATCTTGAATACGTCAATAAGTCAGCATTCAAATCGGAAGAAGAATACTGAGTTACCTAGCTGGAAGCGTAGCAAGAAGCGAGTCCACTAGTTCTCCCATACTACCAGTATCCTGAGGAATCATCTTGGTAAACTTTGAGACTCTAAAACATAATTTATACCTATAGTAGACGACAACATCACAGACAGCAGAAGCACTTGGAAAAGCCCAATGTTATATCCTCAAAAATATAAAACGAACTAAAACGGCACAAACACAAGGTCTAAGTGCAACTCTATCTCTAAAGACCTGGTAGGTTCTGTGCTTTTATCGTCTAAGTTAGTCGTTCCTTTTTGCCTTAACATTTATATCCTCAGTTCTCACGCCCCTTCCAGTGAAGACAGTCAGATCAAGGAATCCCTTATCAATTACAAACTCGTGCTGCATGTTAACACTGCGAGAGGTTATGCCGATACGGTACACGTTAGGCAGGCGCCATACTCGATCCGCTTGATCCGCTTCATCATTGGTCAAGACAGTGAACCGACCAATAGTGAAGTGGATGATGTGGATCAAGCGTATCAAGCGGATAACTGCCTCGTTATTGGTCAGTTCACTGAATCGACCAATGACAAAGCGGATCAAGCGGATCAAGTGGATTAAGCGGATCAAGTATGGCGCGTGCCACACACATTCAGAAAGCGGATTAGTTAATGTTCAGATTGCCCTGACATTATCATCATTATGCTAGGCGAATGTAGAATCTTAGCATTTGCCCAGCGCAATGAAAAGTTCTAACAAGGATGGTCATTTATTAGAAACGTTCACTTCGTTGGTCAAATAATTCGTGACAACAATTGTTATACACTTAACTTAACTATCTCTTTTCCCGAGATGGTAAAATTAGACGCACTGATGATTTTGTGCAAATGTGCAAGTTCCACTCATGAATAATCAATCTACAGTGATCCCAGAAAGCAATTTAGTGAGGAAGAGATATAAAATCCGTGACCAGTATGTTTAGGCAAGATAATGGTGGAGTCAGCTTATTCAGAATTTCAAGACAGTGAGTGGGAATACCGCTACATGTTCTAGCATGCACAAATATAAGAATTAAAGGTTACACCACCACCATCACAACACACAAATAACTAACGATTTGCGACGTTCGTTCTGTTTTGCGGCTGCATCGCTGAAATAGAGCAGGGATACAATTTAAGCAAAAATCTATTTCGCACCTTCAAAAACAAAGTTTGAATAAGATGTGCGAACAGTTAAGATATTGCCCAAGGATTATAATAAACGAAGCGAAAAGAACAAATTACAAAAATTTCGAAAAAAAAAAGATGCGATCGCACCTTTCCTCATCCTGAACGATAGCGTCCATATCGCTTTCATCGCTTGTAGGTCGCACATCTTCCGTAGGGCCTTGCGGCCTCCGTTGTCGTACAGCGTCTTCCGCAGCACTGTCTACCATTACCTAAGTGCAATGTTGTTACTGCATCTCGTGGACACCAATGCGCGAAGCTGGCATAGGAGAAGAAACAAGGAGTGAGGTAGGAGGAAAGGACACTAGGAGAAAGGACAATTCAAGGGAAATAAATAACATGTGGCAATGCACGCACCAGATGTGATGAATGTGTAAGTCGTAAGAAAGAGAAAAGACAATATCTCAAGCAGTAAACACAAATCACAAAGTACATGTAAAAGTGGTCGACCTTAAACTTTCTCTTCAAAAGATACCGCTTATAAGACCTGATGAGAAGAACAACGACTTTCGGTACCCATCAAGGGACCCGTCATACTTCGCCCAGAAGCGCCGAGAAGTGCCAGGACGCCGCTTTTCGATGCGCAACTACCAACTGTGGAGCGCAAGTATTGGAAACATCGTTCAACACCAAAATCAACCATCAAAGCAAAAATACACATTCTTTCGACTGTCTCTCGACCATAATCGAGAACCGTAATGATAACGACTGTAGTAGTTCAACCAACTTACTTACATTCGCAGCAGAAACAAAGCGATTCAGTCGTAAAACTAGTGAAAACAACAGGAAAACTTGCTAGTATCATCGAGTACATAGAGAGATGTACTACGTGTGACCTTTCCCAGAGATAATGAACTGTACAAGGCGTTGGTAAATATGGATGAAACACGTTTCAGAAAAATACTGCGACAAGTTTAGGTCTCAGAAGTACCCATTATAGGACTGATAAGTGAATTAGCTGACAGAACAGTCAAGAAGAAGAAGAACTTGTTATGAAAGAGTGTAGGTAACTGGGTCTGAAGTCCGACGTCACCATTCCCCACATAACTCTACAATGAGACATTCAACACTTAGTCACACTGTTTGCCCAACGGATTAAACAACTAATTCCAATAAGACTTAAAGGTAGTACGATCTGAATGCGTGAAACACGATGATTAAGCATACTCGCGAAATCGAAAGTACAAAATACAGAAAATCGAGATCATCTAGTGATGACTGTTAACCATGTAAAGGGGAAACTAGTGAGCTGCAAGAAGCCTAAAAACACTTAATCCAGTTTTATCGCTCATGAAGCAACTTAATGAAGAAGCCGTTGCATGATTCTACATCCAATCAATTGCGAACTACTGGACCGTACACTAATAGTAAGCATTTCGGAGCGCGCGAAGATGTGGACAAAGCTCGCATAGCGGAAAAGCACACTGCGTTCCAGTGGAGGCATGCTCTTGGAACAAAGGAGAAGTGCTATTACCTTTGTCGATTACAAACAAAAACTTAATTTAGCACATAGAGTGCCGATATTCACGTGCAACTCCATAGTATACAATAAAAATGCGAACACGCTCAGTCTGACAGAGGTAAGCTACTTCTAGTAACTTCTAGTTACTTAAACTTTGAAAACACCCATATCCGTGACTCTCCTTAATCTCCAGCCAACTGATGTGTCTGTTTTATACTAGTAGTTTTCAGTCAAGTAGCATAGAATGGAGCATACAGATGCAAGCAGAACTTGTGTTGTCTCGATTGCAGTATCCCTTATGCGTGCGGCTCGCATCCGCAACGCGAAGGCACTGCGTGCCGAACTTCATCATACAAAGGCAGGTACCGGAGTTATCCGCTTCATCCACTTAGCGCCATTGGTCAAAGCCCTGATTCAAACAGTAGCGAAGCAGGTTCAGCGTCAAGTATGGTGTGCGCCGAAGTATCCAACTCGCGCAAGCCAATCACGAGCAGGATGTGGCAAATGATTGGAGACGCAGCGATCCAGACAGCTGTGGAGAACTATTAATAAGGTACCACGGTAGGGTTGGCCTGATATCGTCTACAAGGAGAAATGTGATGTTGCTTCAGGTGTTCGAAACAACCCTTAGGGAGCCGTCATACTTCGCCGAGAAGAGCCCAAAGAAGCCGAAAAAAGCCCCAAGGAGCCGAAACACCGCTTCCGTTTTGACGCTATTTACGCATGTGTATTGATTTCGCAACCGAGTCTTTTTGCTTCATTTTATGTCGTCTGCACATCAAAATAATGTCAGATCTACCAAAAGTCCGATTCTGCGTTCCGGCTCTTTCGGGCTTTTTTGGGCTTTTTCGAGGGTTTTTGGGCTTTTCTTGGCGAAGTATGACGGGTCCCTCAATGATTAGCCACATCCAGCTAGTGCGGGTTCGGATGATCCAACCTCATCTGACTCTCCTAACACGGTAGATTCCGCAGAAATTGAGACTGATACGTTGTCGCTTTAGCACATGCATCCCTAGCGTATCCCTAGCGAGGACAACGAGAACGCTTCAATGCATTCATGCTCAGACAGTCGAAGGGATACCTCCGGCGGGCAAATGGCGCGAGTCTGCCACTTCGCGCTCTGGAGCGCTCCGGAGCCCTGCCATTTCACGCATTTTGCTGCTCCGCTCTCCCAAAACTGGCGCACCTCCGGAGCAGAGATTTGCGCGTCCCGGAGAGGGGTCCCATTCGCCTGCTTGTGACGTCACCGTGACGTGAACAAATAGGACCTCCGGGACGCGCAAATCTCTGCTCCGGAGGTGCGCCAGTTTTGGGAGAGCCCCGGATCAGCAAAATGCGTGAAATGGCAAGCTCAGACAGTCGATCGGACCCCTCCGGCGGACAGTCGAAATCTGCCAGGGCCGCGGCGGACCCAGTTGACCAATGAGAGCGGGGCGAGGGGGCGGTCCCTTCTTGTGACGTCACAAAGAAGGCAGATCGGACCCCTCCGGCGGGCTTGCAAATCTCTCCGCCGCAAGTACGCCAGATTTGCTGGAGTCGTGGCGCAGAGATTTGCCCGCCGCGAGTTTGCCAGATTTGGAAGAGCCGCAAAGCAGAAAATCGGAGGGGTCCGGGACAGAAAATCGGAGGGGTCCGGGACAGAAAATGGGAGGCCTCCGGCACAGAAAATGGAAGGCCTCCGGCGCACAAAATGGGAGGGGTCCGGCGCACAAAATGGGAGGGGTCCGGCGCACAAAATGGGAGGAGTCCGGCGCACAAAATGGGAGGGGTCCGGCGCACGAGTGGCAGACCCCCCGCTGGGGAAACCCCGCGGCCCTGCCATTTCTGCGCCGGAGGGGTCCGATCGACTGTCTGAGAAGGCTCCGGAGCGCTTCAGAGCGCGAAGTGGCAGACTCGCGCCATTTGCCCGCCGGAGGTATCCCTTCGACTGTCTGAGTGCACTCCGTCCGTCTTCGGCTCCAGAGCGGCGGAGTGGTTCAAGTAAATATCAAAGTAAAATCATATCCAAGAGCACAAAGCTGTTCGGGAGTGCCTCCAGGCGGTGTAGATGGAATGCATGAGTAGAGACAAAATTTCCGCTCCAGGTTAGAAATGCTGCAGTTCTGGAGCTCATTATGCGTCATTCACTTCCTGATAAGATTTCGCCACCTATCCAGCGGGATTAGTGAGTAATGAGCACAGGGTTGCCATACTAGGCGATTCTGATCTGCAGGAAGTGTCGAAATATTTGCATTTCTACATCGGGAAAAGCAAAGGATGCGAAATGAAAAGACGCGCATAAAATGATATGATCAAGCAGGGTAAACCAAGTTTACGCCAAGGTGAATTGGTTAAGAAAGAAAGCGAGGATTCTTATTTTACCCAAGTGATGCGCAGTGGCCGATGAGAAGAACAGAGGCAAAGCAAAAGAATCCAACAGTCAATAGTTTCTACCCCGATGTTTACTCTTTCAAAGCACTAGAACCTGATCGCCGAATGCAAACGTTCTATGAGAATACACTGATAGAACAGCAGCGAAACGTATATTCAAAACGATGGTAGCATAGTTTGAAAGAGGGATTCGCACGTTATGTTACAGAAAAAAAGTAGCCCAATACAAGTGGCGATAACAATGGCCATGTGACGGTGACATTTATTGCCAAACTCTCTTCATTGTGCCGAAATTGTTATATAGCGAGAAATACAATTGGTAAGACGTTGATACCCCTCAAAAGAATTACAATACTTTTTGCGATGAAATCAAATGAAATCACTGCGCGATTTCCATAAAAAAAGCTTGTATGCTCAACCAAAAAACTTGTTTTTTTTAGTCGAAAAGCGCATGATAAAAGGAAACCGATTTGACACAGATTAACTTCTCAATCTTATTACTGATGTAATTACTGATGTAATGAGATTGGGAGTGACAGGAAGAGGAAGAAGAATCATCGTAACTTATAATAAAGCGCTAAGCCTCTGTCTGTTTGTCTGCATGTCTGCCTGTCATGAAATCCATATAGCGAGGTGCAGCCAATGTCTTGAGCTAGAACTTTTGTCATAGCGCCCTATCAGCGTGTAGGTAAAATGTCTATCCAGTAATTAATCATCTACCATCGATCCAGTGCTCCAGCCGATCCAGCAAGTGGAACTATTGAAAACTGTGCGTCAAACGGATCCACGCGACTTTTGGCCCCCCCCCCCCCAGAATGGATCAAAATTGGACTTTTCGCGAAGTCGAGGATTTGTTCAACAAGTAAATCCGAAAAACGTTGACTTCAGCTTAGAAAGTAAGCAGTCTATTTGAGTCTATTTTACGCAACATTGGCGCAAAAAAGGTGCAACTGCGCAAATTGTCAATTTGCCAAGTTGTCACTTTGAGAAGTTGAAAAGATTTTTGAGTAATAAATATGTAGCCCAAGATGACTATTATCCTGATGGCTATGAAGCCTAAATAAATTCAGTAACCCATTCAGAATCGCATATGTTCTTCTGCAAAAACATATTTTCTCCCGAAATTACCGATCTTACAGGAAAAGCTTTGAAAATGAACGTTTTTACGAATCATTCGTGATGATCGGCATTGGGCGGTGAGTTTCAATGTCACTATTATGCGATCACGTAGAAGGCATACGGAGAGTAAAAGCCAGTGCGAACATCTGCGGAGCAGAGGTAACGGTGATTCTATAGGTCGGCAAGTGAGGGTTTATCAAGGTCAAATCAATTTGAGCTTTGTGAAGCCAATCAAATAGGGTGTTGAACTGTTTGTGGGAACA